CTTTGGTTGCCCAAGTTTTATATCGCACGAATCTGCTTGGTTTCTCAACCCTGGTCAAAAGATATGTCGATAACAAATAGGTATGTCGAGAGAAAGCACCGACGCTGAACGTTACAAGAAAAACACAGCTCACCACCGCACCGGAACAGCGCCGGCGCCAGCGGCTGCCCTTGACCTTGCACGAGATCCCGCCGGCGGCTCTGTCATGCATCGTGTCCCGAGCCGACACAATACACAGAACAAAGGGCGCACGGCGGGGTCGGGCCGGGCCACAGCTGAGGGGGGAGGACCAGCATCAGCCGTCCACTAGACGTGCTGTGTGTCAGCCTGACCGAGGCACAACAGGGTGACAATGAGCGGCGGCACCGCCTGCCCGATCAGCAGCTGATGGAGGCGACACGGCGCGCGCCAACCGGCATTGGCCAATGTCACGCAGGGCCGCCGCCGGGCCTTGGAGGCTCAGCCGCCGAACAATGGGAATCGTGGAGCAGGTGTGACTACTATACTATCACACATTCACACGGCCAGACACAGCAAAATGTCAATGGTGCATCACTCGAAGCGCTGATAAGCAGATGTAGCAGGAAACAAGTGTGCGATATAAAACGGTAGTCGCATCACAACTCTAAAACTGGAGTAGATATTTTGTGTGTTTCAGTTTTATTGAGGCAAGGGAAACTCAACCAGTTCCCGGTAGCCCAAACACTTTCCTAAAGATAAGCCAGTCCAGGACATGAACCATAATCCTTTCACTTGCACTGGAAGTCGCATCGCTTCATCTATTCGTTCTGCTGATACTGTGATACGCCAGGAGGAAAGGTCATGACTAGCTCTCGCTATTTCCAAACACAAACCATGACCGGCAATGTTTACTCAATGGCGACGGGCGGACTGAATGAATGAAACCGAACACCTCGGTCGGGTTGTGCAGACTACAATAGCCCGCTCGGCGGACCGATCCACTCCTCTCCACGGCACGGCCATGGCACGACGGCCTTGCCGCCAGCACAACCGGCTCTCCTCAAGTGGAAAATTACACCGGCTCAAGACGCAGCCGTGACGGATCGGCAGCTGGCCCGGCAGCTGCTGCTGACGCGCTTACAAATGCTCTGGCACGGACCGCTGCGAAACAACACGGATCGCTGTCGATACCAGAGAGAGCTAGCCTCAGCAGTCGGCACAGGGGAGAACGGTTTTATAGAGACATCTTCGCTGTCACACTCCCGAGAAAAGAAGCTATGATGTGACACGACCGCCCACCAAGCGATACATAATTCAGCAATTATTCATCCCACGACGGTTAGTCTAAACGAACTGAAGCGGTGCCTGGTCAGTGAGGTCTTTAAGTGGCACAGCCTGTGTGGCCTCAACCGGCAAACCATCCCAAAGCAATCACGAAATAGGCGGAGGTTCCTTGCGTAAACGGTGTATAGCAGTCGGGCTTCGGAATGTGGACTTTGATGAGCATGGACAATCAAGGGGAACAATGGCGATGGTTTTCGAACCAAACGGCGTTCCGCACTAATGTAAATATTAGCGAAGGACAGCACACACTATGCTACTGGCCACAGGTGAATGGCAAAAAGCTTGTGAATGATTAAGGAACACGACAAAAGAGTCTATTGTTTGAGTCGAAGCCGATGACTCGGCCGATGACGATTCGCGATCAAGGTGTGCTTGCAACTTGGTAGCGCTCCTAAACCCACTGGGGAAAATAATTTCTTTGGAGATCACCAGGCACTTGCATAACGATTTTCCTCTCTAAAAACACCACAAACCGGCATCCTAGCCCCATCCGTCTCTGACAAACAGCTGTTAATTTAACCGAGGAGCCAGTTTTTGCGGGACTCGCCGCTCGGCCGGCAGGCCTGGACTCGCGGCTATCACAGCAATCACTCCGCCGTAAATATACACCGACCAGCATTAACCCGGTGACGCAACGGGCACCGAGGAGACGGCCTGGTGACACCGCCTGGTGACACCCCGGCTGGTGACGGCGGCCTGGTGACGCCGCGCCGGTCCGGTCACCGAGGCCTCTGCGGGTCTCTGGACCGCCCGGCGCCCGGAGCTGGTCGCACCACCATGGCGCGGCGCTGTGGTATGCACGGTGCGGTGCGTTGATGTCGACAGTCGAGAGCACGCCCCCGACAGGCAGCACGCCCCGCAGCACGCCGATAGGATCCAGTTACGGAAAACGAACGGTCGGGAGCGGCGTCTGCGGTCCGCTCAACGGCGCAATGGCAGGCTCAATTTCAGCAATACGGTGTTGCCCATAAACGGCGGCAATAAAACGCAATCAATCACCAGGGCTAAATTCGCATGATTTGTTGCTTGGCACGCACTGTGGAAACGTAAAACCGAGCCAAGAAGGCATTGCTTATTAATCAAATACACAATCAAACATCGACCTGCCTCGAAGTTCATACTGAAGCCACTGCAAAGCACTAGCGCTGCCAAGGGTAGGCATGTCTGAATAAAGCAGGGACGCCGCCGTGCCAGGTGCCGCCCGGGGTCGAGGTGCAGATAGAGCGCGTGGCGGCAGACGAGCGTGCCGAGCAGTGCGCACCCTATCCGATTACCGTGACCCCAATGTCACCGCAGGGAGGCGGCGCAGCCGCGGCTCACCGGCCCGGTGCGGGGTTACGCATCACTCGGCATCGATTTGTGAGTGGTGTCACCAGCATATATCAGGACAGCAAGCTGAGATGAGTGAGAAGGCAGCAGCCTCGTGCAGCGTGCTTCTTGTCTTGCCACTTTGCTAGCGAATAGTTCGAGGTAACCGACAACCAAGACACTTGTAAGCAATGAAAAGAGGGGAGCATAGCAAATCATTACCATCATGCATGGCTTCTTTAGCTTCCCTTCATGAACATTGAACAGAACAAAAGCTGGACAATGAACGAAAAGAGACATCAATACAGCCGCTAGCAATAGATTATCAATCACAGCGGATACAGCAGGCTATGTTATCGACCTTCATTGTCCAGCGGCCGTCACGTATGTGAGCGAAGCGACCCACCCAGATCATTGGCAAACACGCCCAATCCTGCGTACTCTTGTGCAAACAGCTCAATGGAGGTCACGCGCGCTACCGACGCACCGCGGTGGCAAAAAATATGTTCGCATGGGAGTTAGTTTAAAGAGGCGATCGGCACCCGCGACTCGAACGAGCCACATGAGATCGGTGGCGAGCTGACGCAACACATCACCGATACTGCAGAAGTGGGGAGAATTAATAGATCCATGATCAATGCATCTGGCATCCAGTGGGCAATTGGGACAGCAGCATGCATTTGTTAAATCTTAACCAATAACCATGCCAGCAGTTGAAATGTGCACATACAGCTGATATGGTTATATGGCTACAGAAGTGCTTGGCACTATCACTGTACAAAATAACAAGTGCATAATCTTCCCCCTTCCATGAAAATATCAGACAACAGAAGCACAGACTGAGACCATTCAGCACTTTCGGAACCAGAAAAAGCTAGGCTACAAATCAAAAAGCTGATCTAAGGCAGATATCATGGGCTTCAAAGGTCATTTGCGATGGCCCATATTATGTCTGATGAATTCAAGTAACTAATACTGCAATGAAAATGTTTAGAAAAAAAACACAAGAAACTATGATGGTAAGTAAATAGGCATAAAGTCACAATAAATGCAATTTCAATTTTTGGCCATCTTGATCACTATCTTCCTTGACAGTTTGGCTCAAACACATCCTTAATATTACTCGTTATGGAATTAGCATATTGCTGTGTCGATTAACACCAAATAAATCCAAGACACTTTTTGTTTTGGTTTTAATCCTACAACAAACCATGGATCAGGATGAAGTATTCCGACAGGAATACCTAATCCATGAACAAACAGTGCACACCATCCCTTTCCCCAAAAGTACTTCAGCTCACCTGTTCAGCGTTACAAGCTTGAATGGATTAAAAATCTTAGCTTCACTGCGCTGTCATTATTATTTAATTCCAGCAAGCCACTCAGCTTGCGCCCAGCCACAACCTCAATCTTACCAAGAATCTTACAAACGCGCTCACACTTCGATTCAAAATTCCCACAGTGCTGCCAGATGGGGAAGGCTGTAATCCTCCAGATCAGTTACAAAAAATCCTCCAGATTCCTCCAAATCCTATTGGTAGATATAGAAAGGCGGTCTTGGACGCTGCGGGGGGCTATACCCCCAAAAAAGTTTCACCAAATTCTAAAAACTCATCGGATTTCGAATCCTTTCGCACTGCTGTGCAGTTTAAAAGATACCTTTTCTTATAAAAGCTGTTTAGTTTTCCTATTATAAAAAACGAATATTTTCGTCGATTTCGGGCGCTGCAGGGGGGCCGGGGGCATTTGCCCCAAATGTCCCCCTTAGACAGCCAGTAGTTTGGTACCCTCGACCCTCGTAGATATAGCTACAGACTGAGACATTCTGCAGTCTCACGGTGAGGCGTGATATATCCTAACGGGTAGGGTGACGCTGGGCAGGAAAATGCCTTTTTAGTATTGCATGTGTTATATTTTTCCATGAAATTGAATATAATAATCGGGCGACAAATCCTCCAGATTTTCCTCCAGAATCAAAAATCCTCCAAAAGCGAAATTTGTCCGCAAATAGAGTTCAAAATCCTCCAGATTTGCGGAAATCCTCCAAATCTGGCAGCACTGAATTCCCATCTTCACCCATTCAGCGAATTCAACAATCCATTTATTTTGCAAGTCTTGATTTATTAAACAAACCTCAGATTTTGATTGGACACCGAATGCTATCGCTGCTCGCTAGTATTATTCAAAAGGGTTAAAAACAGGAAATTCTATCTGAATCAGTAAATATATTTATTTTACAGCTAAGAAATTTATTTCTAATAACTATTTAATTCGACGGAAAAAGCGTTAAAAACGCTAAAATCAATATTTCACCAACGGGTTTCGCTAATGACGTCATAGAATCTTGCACTTCGGAATCACAATATCAATATATCAAAATATACGATGCATACTTTGAGGGTTTTGTGGCGCACCACTGCAAATGTTTAGAATGGTTTAGAAACTAGTGTTTTGTGGGGTTTTATGTGGATATATAGCTCTTTCAAGAAGGCAGTGGAGAAATATTATGGTCATTAGTATTTTGCCTGATGCACGGATAACTGTCAGTTCAGTTTTGAATAGGGATGTCAAGCAGTTTGGCAGCAAATACTTGACTGATGGTGATGAAGAGACATGCTGGAACTCTCATCAGGTGCTTATTTTTCTATTGCAAAGCAAAAACGAATGGTGCGCTGAACAGGCGGTTACATCTGCCTTTCTCTTTCCAATCATAACATGCTGAGTTGGCTTTCATTGGACCCTTGCATTCTCCTTGAATGCTCAGATTTTTTTGTATGAAATTTCATCAGCTTCGGAATCAGGGATGTTCACGGGGGCCCTGTGTGCGGGAGGACCGTACACAGCCTCCAAGCTCTGCCCACTGTGTTCCTAAGTCAGTCTTCCATCACCACAGTTCACACACAGCGATCACTGTGGTCAGTTGGGTCTGGCCACAGCGTTGGCTGTGTGTGGTCCACCACACGGAGCCTTGTGATGTCATACTGACTGTGTACCCCTCCCCTACCCCCACGCCTGCTGCACACACTGCACGCAGTAGTGTGCGGTGCCCATGAACAGCCCCGGAAATGAAATTCCTTGCACTGGCACAGTGAACTGTTACCACTGCTCAAACTGATACTAATTACTACTTACTCATTTGTTCTGCATTTCACTTTTCAGTAGCCATCTACTTTGCACCATGGGGTGAAACCTGTTTTTCATGAAAGCTGGCTGATTAAATTTATAAGGTTAAATAAATAAATAAATAAATAAATAAATAAATAAGAAAAAATGGTTGAGCATCATTGTGTGTACTTTCTCTTCATTATATGCACAATCAAGTAGATAAATAATGGGATTTTTAAGCGAGAATTTAAAAATGATTCTCACCTGTCTGAACTGGCTCACCCACAGGGCAGTCCCCAGTACATCTGCGCCCGTCTGGCGGCGCCGCGCCGTCCCACCGAACTGCAGCTGCAGTTCCAGGGCGGGTTCGCCGGCGGCGACTGCTGGCTGGAGGCGGGCGACGCGCCCGACCAGCTGCGCCGACTGCACGCCTTCTATCCGGAGAACGTCAACCGGCTGCAGACGTTCCCGGTCGACTGTCCCGAGCCCGTCACCCACGTCAAGGTAGTGTTCAACACCAGCACGGACTTCTTCGGCCGCGTGGTGGTCTACAAGTTCGACCTGCTCGCCGACGAGCCACCGAAGACGGCGGCTGACGACCCTGCTACCTGACCTTTGTTGCAGCGGGAATTGAATGTCATGTCGTCAGAGCCAATGTCAAATTGCTAGATCATAGATGGTGACTGGTGGCCTATTATGTTCGGTGATGTGGAACACGGACATGTAAAATGTCTACCTGTCGTTATATTATGACGAAGGTCGTGCTGATTCCCATGCATATTGAATATTTTCAGTGTATTTTATTACATTTGATGACCTGTTGTAAGGCCAATGTGAAATAAAGGGGCTGCATGTTTGTATAGGTACTGTCTGTTTTACGCTATGGCCGAGCGATGATCGAAAAAAAAATGTTATTCGGCAAGAAACCGGTTACTCGATGCCTGGTGTGGGGACAGGAAGTCGCAGCAACAACCAAGCACCCACGTGAAATGCAGTTCGTTCCGAGTGAAAACTTTGATGTCCCATAAGACTGACCCCTTCTAGCTTCCCTTGCAGTGTCGCCAGGCGAAGCTAACTAGACAGCTTCATATTCGACCTCGTCACCAGAGGACGGATAGGTATATCGATCGCCAATCGTCAGGCTCTCGGAACGGAAAGTATGAATTGAATAAGCCTCTGCTGCAGTATATTTGCGGCGTGTTGGTACTCATCGGCTCTACCGGTGCACTGGAATACAATAGGTATGTCATGCAAAGAAAAACAAACATCTAAAACAACAGCCGGCACTTAAACAAAGATCCACAAAAACCCAAAACGGTCCATTAACAAACGCTTATCAAGCAGGGGGAGGGGGCGGGGGGACGCATGCCTTTCGCAGATGATCACAGCGGTGACAGACGACGTTTACAAAGTCCGACAATCGGCATAACTGGGGAGGGTTCTGGCGAAATGACGGCTGCCTGCAAACACCAGTCAAGCAGAGAAGCTACCGCGTGGGATGATTCAAAGCTCTCGATGTAGAAACGGTGCGGGGCCGTATGCGAGCGTAACTGGCTGCCTATGGCACATGCACTGGAATGTAGACGCAGCAGCCGTCACTATGCGCTGCCATTGGAAGCTAGCGGGGGCCGTGAAATTATACACGGTGACCGCGGTACGCAGCGGTCCCCGGCTATGGCAGTGTTGAACAGCATGGCACGTGCGTTTGGCTGGCACGCACTGCGCGAGGGCTATCCCTGGCCGTCACAGGTGCGTGTTGTGCGGTGTCCCTCCTAAACTCTGGCGGATAAATCCCCTAATGATGTAAGCTATCGCTCAACAGTAAAACCACGCGCGGTCTGGCGATTGGGTCTGCAAATGGGGCTTCGCTTAAAATACGCCGTTGATAAGAGTAACTAAACATGCGGAGACTATGACGCCCTGACTGAATTAACCTTTAACAGTGGCATCATACTATAACTGCGATTGCTCAACTAACACAAGGAACACAGACCGGTGCGAGTTCGCGTTGGCTTTCGAAACTACCGGAGCGATTACATGATCACCACAAACCCCGCGCCCATCACACCCAACATTTCCATCTCGGTACCCTCACCTACCGACCAGCTGACAAATGATACACTCGGTAAAACGGCAAGCTAAAAAGGTCAAAAGTGTCATGTTCAACAGAAGTGACTGAATTCCGGCCAACAACCACATACAACAATCAGCATATTGCTCACCAGTGAGGAATGTGTCGCGATAAAAGGTCATCAGATCATATTAGCTGCCTGTAAGTAAAAGTACCATCTAAAATGATCAAACGGGATGCAAGCCAGTCATCAGCTTCATTTGACATTTGACAACCATGCGTCAAATGAAATTCGGTCATGAGATGTTTCGCCATCACGATAATAAATGCCGTAACGAGATCGGTCAGAGTAAAAACAATTCTGACCAGATGCCATGTTCTGAGATTCCTGAATAGTTACCATCCGTTCCATAAGCTCACTGCTACTTCCCTGCAGGTAAAGCGGTGTCCTGGGCTGAAGTGGGGGCGAATCCGGTGCCAAAGTTTTCCACCAGCGAGCTCGTCTCGAGGTGACATAAGCACCATACTGGCAGTTCCTACTTTGCAGTTTAAAAGCAAACAGTTTTAATGAAGCTTCTCGAGCGCCTCGCAAATCTTGTTGCGAATGGCGACAGCAGCAGGCAGCTTTTGTGCGTGCTTCAAGCTGGTTGTCACCGCAGCAGAACGCCTTACTCCGCCAAACACGCATTCATGACTGGCTTTAGCTAGCAGGCCCATTAAACAAGCCAGCAACTGTCAACAAGCGGGCCGCTGTCCCTGGTGTGAAGCGGAAGCTCTCCCGGCGCCGGGCTGAGGCAGCCGTGTGCGCGGGCAGACCGGTCCGGTCCGACGGTTGTTGGTCGTACTGGACCGGCAGGGACCAGACTGGCGGACCAGACGGACCAGACAGACCGACAGACCGGCGCTCAGTATAAGTGCACAGCCCGCTTCAGCTTCTTGCGCCGCCACTCGGGCAGTTTGTAGAACTCGGCAGAGCTCATGTTGAACACACTGACGAACTCGTCCTCCGTCAGGTGGCGCTGCAATAGAGCGGGCATTGTTCGGTCAGGGAGTGAAGCAACGGGGTACCGGTAAAGCAGCACCCTGAGGTTGGCGAGAGGCAAGTGAAATAGTTCAATTATTAGCAACAAAAACATACGATAAAGTAGGGAACAATGAACAAAAAAAAAACGTGAACAGGAGCCATAAAAATGAGCCCTTCTAATACTTCGAATTGTTCATCAGAAATAACCGAACATATGCGGCATGACAGCCAGTAACGATGGAAACCGAGCTCGGTAGCTGACAGAGCTCCAGTCCACCAGTCACCCACCTCCAGCTGTGTGCCATCCACGTCCTCTGGCAGCGTGCGATTCCTGTCGCGCCGCAGTCGCGCCGCCGGGTACTTGCTCTCCAGGTTGGGTGTGTAGAGCGGCGCGTGTCGCGAGCGCCGGTAGAACGGGCTCTGGGGGTCCGTCTGCGGCGGCATGGGCACACTAGAGAAGGAAACGGCTGACGGGTCGCGCCCCGAGCTGACCGGCGCCGCCGCCAGTGCCAGCCGGTCGCCGTCGAGCAGCGAGGCCAGAGAGTCTGCCGGAGGGACACGGCGTCAGCGGGCTGAAGCCTGAAATGGCAGGCGATAAGGTAACCAATTGCACAGGTGGTAGGGATGAAGGATGCCATGGTACCGGAGAGGAGCGTTCAACTGTTTCGTTGAGAAGTGATGAATCATAGCTGTGAAAGCAATTAGCGATTAGATTGAGGGACACTTTGACAACGGGCACTGGGTTTCACGCAAAGTATACTGATTGCTAAGAAACACACATGTCAGATATCCGCCGTTTTCCGTAAAAAGCGACCGCAAGCACGTCCTAGAAAACAATTCAATCGGCACACACCACACCCAATGCGTCCACTGTGGAATAGCTTACCCTCCGACTGGGTGTCTCCCATCTGGCGGTGACGAATGGAACTAAACGTGTAGTCGCGGCCGTCAGACTGAAAAATCAAACGGTGACGGCCGAACGGGTTAAAATGAGAGGCGACAGCAGCATGGAGCGGTACCGTGCCAAGATATCACCATCAAGCACAAACTGAGAGAGCGCATTCATGAGCAGCAAACACGACAAAGCAAGGTCATCAGCAAGTAGACACTGACAAAATGGTGACCAAAATACAGATAATTGACCGGGACCGATTGAATTGCAAAATGAATGTAAAGGTTGAGCCTCGATCACTCCAACCAGTTCGTCTACTATTGTCATGTCATTTCTTTGATAAATTTGTGTACATCTGTGAGACGTCGTAAGCCCAGCCTGAAACTACCGGTAAATGGGGCGCCAGCTGCAAGATGCCTTTATCAGAATAGGACCATTATTCAGCACGAACTATTTGTAAACAATGAACGCACAACACAAATCAATATCGTCAGGGCAGCATGCCATGCGAATTAGGAGTAAATGACCATACTAACATACGCAGTATGCCTAATCTGTCAAAACATACAACGATAAATCTATGAAATCTGACTCGATATGCATAGCAGTATGTAATGAAATTGGGCAAAACTTTACCAACTATGGGGACGGATCAACAAAGAACACTGACGGGTTGGGGTGCTCGTGCGTCAAATATGTCAGAATATAAGTCAACATTGAGCTGGAGGTTCAGGGTAAATAACACGCTAACTCTGCGATATGCTACACCAGCCATATACACCGGCACATTTCTCCCAGCCACCAGTCAATGCACACCTCACACCGCTGGTTCCCCGGTGACGCCGTGTCCTCCACCACTCAGCGGATCTGCAGCCAGCACAGCGCTGCCACCAGCACAAGCAGCGGTGCTGCCCCCCCCCCCCCACACACACACCCACTCCAAACACACGCACACGGAGAGCACGTCTATACGCGCACGTCAAAAGCACGCCTCACTCATACACTCACAACAGACATCCGTTCATTGCCAGAAATTACCTAACAACACCAGCACACAAACATGACACGGCTACACTGCACACAACACCGCCATCTCCGGCCGGACCGGTGCTCCGTCGCTCTGCCGCGTCCCTGCGCCGCCCTCCTCTCCCCAGGCAGTCGGACATGCAGCAGCCGGGCCGGACCGGGCCGGCCGCCACTCACGGACAGATGCGGCGTGCTGTGCGCGCCAGTCACGTATCCTGCCAGCGACCCGCTGGCCGCCAGCCCGTAGCCCGGCTTTGGACAGGGCCGCAGTGCGCTGGCCACTGACAGCAGGGCCGGAAACGGGCGGGTCACGACGGGGCGGGTCACGGGGAACGCTCACCGTCACAGAGGGAGCCGAGCCGCCGCCGCCGCCGCCGCCGCTCAGGAGACCGCCGTACCGGCCGGCCGCCGGCAGCGTGCAGAAGCGGCGCTCCGGCGGCGCCAGTCGACCTGATCAGCGGGTTACAGCGGGCGTTACGGCAGGTTACAGCGGGCGTTACAGCGGGGTCTGTGGCAGGCCCAGCGGGGACCCAGCAGCGGTTAGGGTGGGCCGCAGCGGAGTTAACTTTAGCAGATATATCGAGGCAAGCCGGGTAAAGCAATGATTGCGGACCTTAGCATAGGTAGGTAGGTAGGTTCAACGAGGTTTTGGGCAGAGTTGAAGCTGGGCTGTAACATGGCACACAAGGGTGAAAGTGAGTTTAGGGAGACTTTATAAAGAGCCAAACGGAGAGTTGTACGGGTTCAGCACGAATTGTACGGGTTTCGACAAACTTTAGAATGACAAGATACTTCAAAACTGTGATATAATAGTGCAATTACTATGTTCAGTGTGAGTCATAGCACAAGGGTAGGAGTGGGCAGTGACCAGCATACGTTATGACGCGGATCAGCACTGGCTGCAGCTGGGTTCGGTAGGAGCTATGACACAGCATGACTGAATTCAGCACATCAAGAGCAAACGATGATGGGCTGCCAACTACCCACGCCCCTCGCCGCACACAAGTAGCCGGCGATGAATATAATCAGACATGATATACCGGAGCCCTGGCACCCTCACGGCCACTGCTGACTCCATGGTCGTTGCTGCGGCAAAGCGTAACGCCGCTGCGGATGGGGAGCGCACGTACCGTGACGATATGGACGGGTTCAGCTCAGGTTAAGACGGGATTTGGGAAAGCTAGCGGCACCATCGGATAACGGTGGGCAAAGACAGGAGACGGCAGGATTTAGTTGAAACAAGCACGGAAGTCTGACACCAAAACGACAGGTCACCACTGAGATATGAGCTAACGGGATCTGGTCGTGCCGCTACGAAGTGACAAGCGGGTGGCTATTGATCTGCCGCGTAACTGCAATTATCACAGTTAAATTAAATCAACGGGCTATCCCGTTCGTTTAACACGTCTGGGCTAAGCGTTAGCAGCCGAACGGATTCAAAACCTCAGAGCCTTCATAAAACGGCTGCGTCAGGACCAGAGTGAGGTCATTGTCAGACCGGGGTTGCCAAGGCACTGCTATGTTCGGACGGCCGGTGTTGTATCAGATGAAATAGTCATACAGAACACGACAGGCTCCGTTCTGTAACCGTACTTTCTTGTTCCGCGCTGTCTGAATCAGATCGGTTACAGGGCAGCTGGTAGGTGGTAAGCTAAAGGAACATCGATCGCTGCTGCATGGGTGATGCTACAGCGGTCTAAGCTGGAGTTCAGAGTGTTTTGCAAAAGCATTAGCAGGGGCAAGCAGTCAAAATATTGACTCAATGACGGGGCAAGGGGGGGGTGGATGAACTTAACGACAGTCTTCATCGTATTCGTCAACAGTTATAGCAAACGTAATTAAGTTAAATAAGCACATTATGGCAAGCTCAATTAGAAAACTCCCAAGCAAAGCGTCCACAATTATGCGGGACCTACCGTAACATGAGTGGTTCCATCCTGTAATCCCGTACTACCCATCAAAGTTCAACATGTCGTCTAGCCCAGCCTCCATGAGGCTCTGCCCCACGTAGCTCAGTTCCTTATGACTGTCTTTGACTCCCGAGTCTCCAAGCTCCCCCCCCTCCCCCCCCCCCACACACACACATGACCCCCTGCCGTACAATGAAACCATGACGTACTGTTGTATGTGGAGGGCAGGGTGCTGTGGTCGCGCGTGGCCCATCCCACCGGCGGGTAACCGTGGTACCGGTAATAAAACAGGTCCTCGTCCAGACTGCGGTTGTGCAGGAACCGAGACGGAGCTGAAGAGCAGAAAACGCCGGCCGGTTAGACGACAGCCAAGCCAGCTGTTGTTAACAGGAATCAGAGAGCAGATTTAAGCAGATTTGCCTCAGCTTTTTTCATTTTCCGACTGAGCAGAACTGCCTAGCCCACTCTGCCTGCCAAGACCAGTGACAATGCCCGGTCCATCCCGCCACTCACAGGCGTTCACCGGGTTCTGGTAGCGCATCCCGTAGCGGGGCTCCCGGTTGGCGGCCGGGGTGCGGGACGTGCTACGCGGGTCCGGGTGCGTCAGCTGCTGGTGACGCTGCTGCTTCCGAGCCTGCAGGTCGTGCAGGAACACCTTGCCGATGCCGGATGCGATCTTGGTGAGCTCAGCCTCCTCACGCTGCGGAGAGGACGTCAGTCAGAGACAAAACAGGAGCTACACTCGTATCGATTTGTGAATTCGACGCAGCTTACCAATGTCAGGATGGCCGAGCGGTCTAAGGCGCTGCGTTCAGGTCGCAGTCTGGTTCTCCAGGCGTGGGTTCGAATCCCACTTCTGACAAATCGTTTTCACTTTCACATGGAAGCTGCCAGTTTGTGCCAAGCTAAGCCACCCTTCAACAGCGACCCAGTAAGCAAATCTGCATTTGGGGAATGCCTGGGAGCTACCCACCATAGTTTCTTTACACACAATATCTTCTTGGCCTTCTGAGTCGTAGCCAGGCACAATCAGTACTCAGTAGTGGAGGTCGGCGGGCAAACCGCCTCACAAAACATTTTCGTTCGTGCTCCAGTTGTAATGTATGTACTGTGGAAATTGGGAACGTCGCTCTTACCAGCCACTCAAAGAAAGTTTATTCTAAGGACGTTACGAAACAGCTGCGCTGTAAGGCGACAATAACCGACTCACAATCCATTAAAACAGTAACAGTCACGCTTCCGTGCAGCGAAACTATCGTGCTCGGTGCACTGCTTGGCCTCAGTGCCCTTGTAGCTGACACCCGGTATTGACCTAGCGCCCTCCCCACCCCTTCAACACGGTCGGTGCCACACCCACCTTCAGTTTAGGGTCCTCCTCCCTGTCGGCATCCACCTCGTCCTCGTCGTCGATGACGTCATCGGATCGTCCGGACAGCCGTCGGCGCCGCTCGGGGTCCGAGTAGGCGTACGGCGGCGCCGGAAAGTCGTCCCGCTCGATGGCGGCCGGCAGCGACGGGTTCGGCACCTGCCAGTGGCGTCACAAGGGGACTCAGCGCACAGTCACAGTCACGCGCGGTCACACAGCGGAGCAGCGACGGATGTGTCCTAGGACTGAGTCGTCTCAGGCCAACCATTTGAAGATCGTGATATAAACGATTAAATACGTAATATTCTACATGCTCGCACATTGTAAAATGCATGGCAAATTATCGTGCGGCAACAGTGGTGGCCACTAGCCATTCCATGCTTTTATCATTCAGTTAAAGATCATCCTGTACAAAATGTTTCGCTGTCAATCAGTTTATCAGTACCACGTCATTCCAACTCCGTTGAATCCGGCAGCGAGCATCAGTCCATGACATTCGAATTTCGAAAGTCACGTATGGTCATGTTTATGAAGCCAGAACTGAATGAATACAATGAGCACAACCGATCGCAGCAGCATAGTGTGACTGTGCTTCCGGTGAATCGGAAAAACAATGTCGAAAAGCACCAGAACCCAGAACCATAGATAACATGATTCATGTTATCTATGCCAGAACTTGAACGAACTGCGATGCCACAGCTCAGATCCCACTGAGCCCAGACACCGTTCCGTGTTTCCATCCTCAGGATACAGAAATCCTTCTGATCATTCTATTTCAAATATGATAATTACCGAATATAATTTGAAACTGAATATTTTACCGGTAAGAAATGGCACAGGATTTTATCGCAAACGGACAACAGTAGCGGTATTTTTAAACATCGCAGCAACTATAAAAAAAATAGGCATAAGAGTATCTCGGGGCGTTCAAGCCCTGGACCCACTTGTGAAAGTGGGACATGCGCATGCTCCGGGGCAGCATAGAGAGGAGGACCGAGAGCGTGTCACGCGTCGCTCCTCACGAAAGCCGTCCGCAGGGGTCGGTGGTGGTGGGTGTGTCGGCGGATCAGCCTCTGAATCGAGTGGCGGCCCCGCAACTGGCTCTTCTTCCGGTGCCTGGAGTGACTGAGGGATCCTGGTCGGGGTCAGTCCGGACGATGGCGGCGGCGACGGCGGTGCCCACTGCTGACCTGGTCTGGTGCCCACTGCTGACCTGGCTGTGGCCAGCACAGAGGCAGCGTTACCTCTGGCCACGGCGATGGAGACTCTTTGTGAGAGCCAGACTGTTTCGCGCTTGTCGCCGGTGCGGGCTGTCAGTCGACGGCCAAGCTCCTTCATGAGACCGGCTGCAGCCGGACCCAGGACGCCAGACGTTTCGACCGCAAAAGGGACGAAGACGGACTTATTACTTAAAGGGACGAAATCCTTCTCCGCACCACAACCCCATCCGGGCTGGACAGGCAACTTTATCTCATGCGGGCTGCTCCCTTGGAGTGGTACCGCTGCTCCCGAGGGAGCGCACTCCGTAGCCGGATGCAGTGAGTAGCTGGGGGCTGGGTGGACCGTCCTCTGGACGGGCTCAGCCCCGGTGACTCACTAGGGTGCCTACCCAGACCAATGTCTCCCCCTATATCCTATCATCCTTCCGGCTCTGAAATGGTCTAATTGGACCGAAAGGGTCTAAAAACCAACAACAAAAAATGGGCCCAGTCATCAATGATTCGCCGAGAGAAAGCATAACCAATCACTCACTGTCACACCCAGCCCCCTCTCTACAAGCAGCAATGTCCGAGCAATGTAGCAGTCCTGTCCTAATGCCTCCTCACACCTAGCTCCCTATACCCGCCTTGCCGTTATGATGGTGTTTTTAAGTTCATTATCATCCCGCCATAATAAGCCCCTGCTCTCCCTCCTTTCACTTTTCCTTTAAATGCACCGTGGTTATCAAATTCCGTCCAAGTTCAGACAAGTTCAGTCCTTGGGCTTATATCACCGTTCGTGGAATTCCGAGGGATTCTCCGCGTTTCGCGCTGTTATAACGGCCATTTTCGCGAGAAATTCCTCACCGAGGAAATTCCACGCGAAATACGGGTTGTCCGCACGCAGCCGGTGTCTTATCATAATCCCGTCCAGTCCCAATCCACCCCAGACCCACGATAGAGTCTATGTTGTATGCGAGTCCCACCTTGGCGTCCGGGTAGTGGGCGAGCTCGATGGGTTCGTCGGCGCTGACTGCCGAGCCGGGGCTCTGCGAGCGGGACCGCGAGAACGTCTCGTACATGGAGCGCTGCGCCAGCTGGTCCACCAGTGTCAGCATGCCAGGCCGCGAAACGGGCCGCCGGCCGCTGCCGCTGCCGCTGCCGCTGCCGCGCGACACAGAGGCGCCGCGCTGCTTCTCTGCGGGACGGGAGGAAGGGGGACGTGTCAAACGGCCGAACGTGTCGGCGCGATGACAGCCGCGGCGTCAACAAACACCGCTTATGTGCGAACGCACGGACCTGCGCGGGCGGCCTCGCGGACTGTGCGAGCCAGCGGTGGGATACAGAGCTGACCCATGCTGGTGCCAGGGCTTCAGCAAAAATGTTTGCTGTTTGAAAAAGTGTGCACTATGCATCCCTGTTGATCATATCAAATTACCTACTGCCACAAGAATGAAAAAATAAGCATTATTGTTAACAAAATGAATCATGAAAAACAGCACCTTAATACAGAAACACTACTGTTGATGAAACACCACAACACCTGAACACAAAACACATGGGTGGGAACAAGCTGAGGAAATTTAAAACCTTAGTTGCAACCAACATACCTTCTGGTACATGAAAATGTTTTTGGCCTCCCTTCTTGTCATAGGGATGAATAGGCTTTTTCATGTAGTGCAGGTCGTCCTGTATGTAGCTGTAGAGCGGAGTGGCGGCCACATCTAGGTAAAAGTCTGGCTCATAGTAGCCATTAGTTGGTGTGTTACAGCTCAGCTCTGCATCGGAGGGCTGTGATCAGAGGGCAGGGTTAGGCCAACACAACACCAAGCACAGTCATACGGTGACATACCTACTTAATCACTGACTGTGGATATGTAGGTACCTATATACACAGCTTAAGTGAGCTGACAGCTATTTTATAGTAAAATAGGCAGATACTGAACATTAAATCTGACAGTAGTCAATATTATTCAATACAATCTATTGTTAATACAAAATTGAAATTTAACAAATATGAAACCCAATTAAGTTAAATTGACTTACAGCAATGTTCGTCTCACTATCCTGTTCCATCTTATCTTGCAATATTGCTGGCACAGTGCGGCTATGGCACTGTATTAACCTGAAAGAGGTGGTGACTGGTGATCTGTGAATTGCGGCTGAAATGCAAAACATTCAACTCATCAAGTGAGTTGAATCAATTGCAAGTAAACTTGGTATATGTCAAGTTTAGGTCCTAACTACAATTGTGACGCTGTTGATACGAATATGAAACAGCAAAAATTTTAGGTTTTAGGTTAGGTTAGGTTGTAGGTTTGTAGGTTTTAGGTTGTAGGTAGGTAGGTTTGTAGGTTAGGTTAGGTTAGGGTAGGTTTGTAGGTTGTAGGTTGGTAGGTTGTAGGTAAGTAGGTAAGGTTAGGTCAGGTTTGATTGTTTTTTTCTTTTATTTGCGAGACATATGAGTATCATTTTTGGATTCAGGATGTCAGATAATGTAAAAATATGAAAAATTTATCAATGAAATCTTCTTAGGACTTAAACTTGACATTTACCAGTAAACTTTGACTTACAATTTCAACTTTTGACACAGCATTTCATTTTTTTCAATTTCAATTGATTTCAATTTGTTAGCAAATAGCAATGGTTTCAAATTGAGGGTGCGTGAACAGCAGAACTTTATTCAGGTTACATCCACGGACTCATATTGAGGTTATTATATAATAAATGACCAATACGTAATTAACGAGCTATAATTGAGAACCTAACGCCCACAATTCACAAACAGTGGAACTCAGCCGAAAGCCGAAAACTGTGTTGTGTTATGAAGTTTTGTTGCAAATGTTATGTTTTGTTTCGGCCAAGGTTTGAGCTAAAAATTTTAGGCATGAGATTGGTTGTCCTCGTCTTTCCTCCAGCTGACTTTTTCGTACTAATGACGTCATATAGAAACGCGATAAGAGCGCGGACGGCGCGTTTTGATAAATATTATTCTTTAGGGTGTGAGTTTCGACTCTTATAGACAAAAAAAAAAACGATGGGATAGCAAAAGTAACTTTGACAACATTTAAAGCTGATAGGGATTTCATCGGTACCTACATTACCAGTACCAGCCCAACTGACATCGCTTACTAACTCAGGATTGAGATCCACAGATGCGATCCGCCTACGCCTAACGTCTAGGTCTACCATTTGCCTAACGTGTACCTGACTTCAATGTGGTCCTTGGCAGTTGGCAGGGTATATTGAGTGAAGTCCTTGGACCTTACTGTCCATAGGCGTAGGAACAGGGGGGGCCAGGTGGGCAAGTGCCCACCCACTTTTCGAGGTGGGGGGGCCAACCATGTGTTTTGGCCCACCCACTTTTTACTCGAGGCCCCTCGTCTCGATTTGAGAGGACGTCGTCACCTTCCAGAATAAACAAACTCGGTAAAAATAAGTTCCACGAGTCCCCATGCACGGAATCCAAGGGGCCGTGATGGATCTAAGGAGGCCCTCTGTTCATACTTGTCAGTCGAAGCCCCTGAGACTGATGGCCTGAGAGGCCCTAGTGGATCTGAGGAGGCCCCAATATCCACACTGGTCTGGGGAGGCCCCTGACACTGGCGGTCTGGGAGGCCCCTGTATCCACACTAGTCAGAGGTCTGAGACTGGTGGTCTGGGAGGCCCCTCCATCCACACTAGTCAGAATAGGCCCCTGACACTGGCGGTCTAGCCGAGGCCCCCTACCCTCACTAGTCAGAGGAGGCCCCTCTATCCTCAATAGTCAGAAGACTGTGACTGATGGTCTGGGAGGCCTATCCATCTACACTGTAGTCAGAGGCCCCTGAGACTGATGACCTGAGAGGCCTTTATAATCACACCAGTCAGAAGAGGCCCCTGAGACCGATGGTCTGAGAGGCTCTTATATTCATACTGGCCACAAGAGGCCCCTGAGACTGATAGTTAGAGAGGTCCACTCCTAATGAATCTGAGGGGGCCCTCTATCCACATTTACACTTTTCTAAGGAGGCCCCCGAGACTGATGGTCTGAGAGGCCCTTTTATTTATGCTGTCCGCAGGAGCCCCCTGAGATTAATGGTCTGAGAGGCTCTTCTATTTATACTAACCAGAGGAGGCCCCTAGGATTGATGGTCTAGCAGGCCCTTCTATTTATACTAGCCAGAGGAGGCCCATGAGACTGATGGTCTGAGAGGCCCTTCTATTCAAACTAGGCAGATGAGGCCCCTGAGAATGATAGTCCGAAGAGCCATGCGGCGGCAACTGGCCGTGGTAATATTTCGGCTCGGTAGGGCCCCACAGAGCTCATGAGAGCACCTCAAGGGCTCCTAAGTAGACACGCTTATCCCCATAAGGGTGCCACGCCGGCTTCTGAAGGCTCCTTGTAGGCATCTAAGAGCCCTTTCCGGCCTCTAACGGCTCCACCCGCCTGTGATGGCTCCACACCAGTGTTTATGAGTGCCACACAGCGGCGCCTTTGAGGGTCATACTAGTGTCTCTTAGGGCCATATATCGGTGGCTCTGGTGGCCCCACACCGGCGCCTCTGTGGGCCACCACACCTGTGCATCTCAAGGCTCTATAGCAGGGGTCGGCAAATGGTGGGGAATGCCCCCTTTGGGGGTAATGGAGCCCTTTCGGTGGGGGTAATGAGGGATTCTGAGAAAGCCTATCTTTTTAGAGTTTGTAGCTCCAGTGATGGAGCCATCGTGACTGTTGCATCCCAAGGTTCAAAGATTAGCCCAGGCCAAAGGCACAGCACACATTGATTAAATACCAATTTTCATGTACCTGCTCGCCTCACCATCTCACCCCTCCGTGCAGTCGTACAAAAGCAGCTGCAACTTTTAACCGTCGCCCGTCTGTTAACAGCCGCTTACGTAAGGGGGAGGAGTCGATCGGACCCCCGCGGCCTCTCGGACTCTGAGATGGAGCTGTGCATAAAAAAGACGAGCGTGCTACCCGTGACAATAGGAAGCCGCTGCTGCCCATTTTTAAGGTCCTTGGTCATTCCGTCTCATTCAAGAGGGTAATGACAAGTGTCGAGAAAATCGGGACCCGCTATAACTTCTTGAAGTGAGATTTTATGGCTCAAGATGATCTCCAGAAAAAGCTCATAAGCCAACGGTCATTATGGGTCCAGAGGCCACTTTCACCAACAGAAAAATAGCCGCCTGCCGGAATTTTTTGCCTAAAGATCGTTTCACATATGGAGCGTAAACGGTAAAGCCCTATCCGCTTACGAGCCCATCGCGTTTACATCGCGATACACAAATACCCAAAGAGTTCCAGGACGGTATGGAATTTCAGTAAACTTGGTTGTGTCAGCAATGGGGTCTGGTAGGTGGGGGTAATGGCCCTGCCTGGCGCCCAAAAAGGGGGCACGACCCCGAATGACCTGCCGACCACTGCTCTATATAGGTACATCTGAAGGACCCACACCGACACCTCTGAGGGCCCCACACCGGTATCTCCGAGCTCTGAAGGCCCCACACCGGTGACTGAGGACTCACCGGCTCCTGAGGGCACCATGTTGATGTCTAACGGCTCCCCTCAAGGCCACTGAAGGCACTACACTGTACACAAGCTCTCACTTAGCTCTAATGTCCATGTACCGGCCTCTGAGGGATTTAAGCCAGCGCATTCATAGCTCCACACCAGCAATTGTAAGGGCTTCACACTGAAGTATCTGAGGGTTCCACACCGGTGTCTCTAAGGGCCACATACCGGCATCTCTGAGGGCCCCATACCGGCGTCTCCGAGGGTCCACATCTGGCAGGCACCCATCAGCGACTGAAGGTCCCACACTGTCGACTCCGAGAGCCCCATCTGCGTCTGGGAGCACCATGCCGTCTCTAAGAACCACAGCGGCTCCTCCGTACGAAAGATGGGCGTCTGCATGCCAAAAGGGAGCGGTTCTGAGACAGTAGGGCACCTACGTGCAATAGAGGGGCGCCTATGATGCCCATAGGGGCGCCTCAATGCGAAAGAGGGGCGCCAGTGAGGCCTACATATATGGGTGTCCACATGCAATAGGGGTCTGCAATGCAATTGATCAATGCCGGTCCCATAGCTCAGTTGGTTAGAGCGTTGGACTCCGCGTGGTAAGAGCACGCGTTCCCGGTTATGACAGTCCGGGTTCGAAGCGCGACGGGCGCTCGACATTTATGGGCCTCCTGACAGGTATGGTTGCGGTTGGTGGCAGGCCGTAGCCAGGCGAAGTCAGCGAGGGGACCGGCCGTGCGCGGCTTTGTGCGCACGTTAAACTTTGGACTCCAAATTCTGCCATAGAATCGGAATTGCGCGATCGGAGGGTAGAGGGCAGGGTCATCGCAACAAGCTTCGCTTAGCGGTGGCTCTGTCCTTGTGAATCCTTCCCATCAAAAGGTTCGGACTAAATTTAAAAAAAAAATGCCATGGGGGTGCATTCATAACAAACAGGGGCGCCGGCATGGCAAAGAGAGGCGCCTTCAGGCTTCAAGTGTCCATAAAAGAGAGACGCCTATGATAAGCGCACATTGTATGCGACTGTGGGACATATAGGGATGTCTCTGATGACTATACATAGGGCGCTTATATGCCAAAGAGGGCGCCTATGAAGCTAATGGTGGCACCTGGGAAACGAGGAAGACATTTGTGTAAGGGTTTTCAGGGGTCATGCGCCGTTTGCGGCAAATAGATTCTAAAAAAATCGGAGGGGGAATAAGTTTTAAAAATGGTGCGGACTTTCCGCTCTGTTCGCTTAAGCGGTTACGCCCCTGGGTACATCTGCCCGATCTCAGAAGCTAGATTTGGAGGTCATACCTACTTGAAAGCAGCCAGCAGGACAAGGCAAAAGTTGGAGGCCCCTGAAAATAGGAGGCCCCCTGGAAAAGGAGGCCCCTTGACAGGGTGGCCCACCCACTTTTCATGACGTTCCTACGCCCGTGTTACTGTCTTTTAGAGGACTACACTAGCCCATTCTCATTATAATAATGCGAAATAATATTAGGCATTATTTCTCACACTTCCTCCCTTATTCAGACTATCTACAAGAATCACAATCTTGAATCTTCTGACGGGTCAACCCATCAGATAACCGGTGGACGTGGTGACCTATCGAGGTGACCATTCCAGTGGCAGTACAGGCTGTTCCATCACGGCACTCCCTTCCCATTGGGACCTCTGCCACTACGACGCACCAGTCGGTACCGCTCAGCCCAATGTCTCCCTCTCGGCTCTCCCTACGGCTATACAACGGTCTTATCAGAGCGAAAGAGCTTGCTTCCAAAAAGCAAAAGTTTCAATACCGCAACATTTCGAGGAAAGGCCAGCGCGTCGGCAAAGCGCCTGAGAAGGAAGGATGGAACGATGGCACCGATAACCGTACATATATTGTCTGAAGCCAGCAACATAACATGGAACAGTATACATGACGAGCAGGTGAGCCGGCCAGCCGCCACAGCACGGGTGTGGGATGGCCGAGCGAGCAGGGACGCGTACATCGCGGCGCCGGTCCCCTGCCTCTGAGACACAGCAATGGCACGAGGAGGGCACGTGGACGATCGGGTAGCGCCCGGCATGATGAAAATTTATGAGAGGCGTAAATAAATACGAAAATATATGCTTGGCATAATTCTTAGCAATAACCAGCAGGTGAGAGCAGCACCTGAATCACGTCGGTCGCTGGAATGCGATAAAGCGATACTTTTACCAAAGTGGATTAAATAGAATAACAACTATAGTACATCACACAACAGCTTTCAGCGCTTGACGAATCTCCATAAGAGATTCGTAGCTGGTACGATAACTCATATGACAAACAAACACACGCATATGTATAAGCGAAAAATAAATATTCCTTCCAAAGCTTCACCCTCACCTCAAGCACCTCAGCAGCGGCACCCAACACATTCGCGGCCGTCAGAGCTGCTCTACGCATCGATCCTTTCCGTCAGCATCCATTTGGGACTTGGTGATCCATTGTCAAACTGCAGGCCAGCGATGCCGACCAGCAGGTCCTCCAAAAGCAGCGGGTCACGGGAGTGTCTAGGGCGACCCGATCTCCTGCGGCGGCGGCACGGGCGGCGGCTGGCCCTCCAGGCTGTCCACGCAGTCGCGGAAGTGTCGCCACGTCTGCAGACCCTGAAAGAAGCGGCGACCACAATCAGCGGCCAGTTTAGCTGCGGGACTGCATGCAGGCGTGTGGACAAACACTGCGTGTTTCGATATTCTGTGATGGCGCTGATGAAAAAATGAAAATGAAAAACAAACATTCAGTATCTGTGCAATTCGTTTTTTAAATTCAGAAATATTATGTCTTGAATCATCAAACGCTTTGCTGCAGAACCCCAGCAGTACAGATATATTTGAACTTTGACGGCCTCCAAAGACCCCAGTACATGACCTTAATCCTCTGGGAAGTACTCATAAATGGATATCTTCTTGGAAATATTCGTTTATAGCTATCGATCACTTTATACAGCCTTAACATTTATATATACTTTTAAGAATTAAAGGTGCGTTGAGTGGTGTGGCAAAATACATCCTCTCCCTCCCCCACCATGGCCAGGTTGACTGAGACCCCCATCCGCACTATGATAAATTGAGCGAAACGAAGACAATGGGTGGAGACTTCCATTTCGCGTCTAGCTAGACGCGTCTAGCTGGACGGCGGCTGCGTCTATTTGGCGACAGCGCGTCTAGCTTGGAAGTCTCCGTCCAATAGTACGACACCAAGTTCGACGCCAACTTGGACGTCTGCTCAATTAGACGCCAGTTGGACGCCAGTGGAAGTCTCCGCCCAATAAAGCTTGCTTACCTTTTTGCAGATACGAATCTGCAGCTTCATGTAGTTGACAATAGTCTCTCGGAGATCTTTAACTTTTCGGGAATGAAACCGCTGGACGTCCTCCAGAGCCTTCTCCACAAACTCACTGCAAGGGAGGTCCGATGTAAAACAAATGTTTGACTTTTTCATCGGGCTGCACCTTCAGCTTTCACAAAGGCAAGTAATGAATTGATGCATAAATATCAATAACTAAAGACATTTCTACGGACAATCCGGTGGTCATTACCGTATTATTTATATATAAAAAATACGCTGTAACCCTGAAGAATATTATATCATTGTCATAACCACGCCCGATCTACCCACCGTTCCAGCCATCGTGCCGAATCCCACCCACCTGAGTTGCTCGGTGTGCTGCCGAATCTCACCCTTCTAACCCATCTTACCCATCTACCCCACCTAACCCAAAACCCACCTGACGCTGCTCAGTGTGCTGCCGAATCTGTTGTTCATCCACCTAACCCACCAAACCCACCTGAGCACCTGAGCTGCCGGATCTGCTGCAGGCTCACCCACCTTAACTCACCTAACCCATCTACCCCACCTAACCCAGAACCCACCTGAGCTGCTCGGTGTGCTGCCGAATCTGCTGCTAACCCACCCAACCCACCAAACCCATCTGAGCACCTGAGCAGCCTGCCGGATCTGCTGCTGCTCACCCACCTTAACTCACCTAACCCATCTAACCCACCTAACCCATCTAACCCACCTGAGCTGCTCGGTGTGCTGCCGGATCTGCTGCTAACCCACCGAACCCAGAACCCACCTGAGTTGCTCAGTGTGCTGTAGGCTCACCCACCTTAACTCACCTAACCCATCTAACCCACCTAACCCATCTAACCCACCTGAGCTGCTCAGTGTGCTGCCGGATCTGCTGCTCGGTGTCGGTCACCTGCTGGTCGATGTCCGCCACCTTCATCTCACGCACCTCGTCCGTATCAACACTGCCCAGCAGCCGCCACATCAGACTGGGCTTACCTGGGAAATGGGGGATGGCACCACGCGGTCACCAGACGAGCGATCCGGGTCGGGGCAGGGGTTTGGGTAAGTGGGTGAGGTGTTAAAATGGGGTACTGGTAAACTGTGGGAGGAACTGTAGATCAAAGGATGTAAGAATACTCTAAGGTGTAAGATCACACTCATCGACCTGAGGCGCAAAACTTTAGGTAAACAAATAAGTGATGCGATATATATTTCGGTTACGTTGGAAATATGAATGACGATTAATTAGCACGATTTATTAGCTACAAATGAGTCGGCCAGTCTGTATCCTAGAGAGCGGTCGGCGGTCTCACCCTGCAGTGCGTTCTCCCGGCGCTGCGACAGCTGCGAGAGCGTATCGTCCAGCCGTTCCAGCTGGTACTGCCGCATCGTGTACTTGTGGCAGACGGCTTGCAGCGCCGCTGCGTAGTACATGTACTCCTTCAGCTGGTCAATGTACACCTGGCGACGCGGCAGACACAGAATCGTCACATCAGTCCGGGTGCGCCAGCTGCGCAGGGCAACCAAATGGCGAAAACACAGAAAAATGAGCCATGGCCGGAAGCCAAGAGCTATCCCTGGCGCTTCATGGGCCTCGTTTACAAATTTACTAAGGGGTCAATGAATTACTTTACTTTCCCCTGCCGCCTTTCCCCACAAATCAAATTATCTACATACGAGTATCTCCCTCTGCCTCCCTCTCCCAGCCGTCCCCTCCCTCCGCACCTCCTCCTCCTCGACGAAGGTGTCAATGCTGGCGGCGTGCGCGTCCATGTAGTGGCCGGCCCGCTGCAGCCCGTCGCCCATCTGGGTCTCCACGGCCGACCACTGGCTGAGCACGCGTCCGTAGCTGGCGTGCTGACGGCGCACCGCGTACGTGGCGTCCGTCAGACGCGCGCGCGAGCGCAGCACGCTCGATAGGTGGGTCTGCCGACGCCGGGGTGCGTCAGAAACAAAACAGCACACATATTAATCGGTCATGAATGTGAAGATGTGGGTTAATTAGTCCAGCTGGTGTTGGCACAAAAGGAGTCGTAATAATACCACCAATAACCTGAGTAGTAGCCAGGTAGTAGCCAGCACTAACAGGTAGTGGTGCAGGTAGTAGCCAGCGCTAACTAGAGAGCATACCTACTTTGGTGTGCTTTGAGACAGTTATAGGCTACTTGTATAAAAAGTGGTGGCAAAACACCGGCTAAATACGAGACACGTTGGCCGAGCATGACGATGCAGTTAGTCATGTTTCAGCGAACTAAAAATTGAATATGAATCCCACGGACTCCCAGCCATTACTTCTTCCCGCTCCCATCCACCACAATTCCACCCCTCACATCTCGCGCACCGCGCAGCGCTCACCTCCAGCTCCCGTCCGTAAGTGAGCAGCTCGTCGAACCGGCTGTCGCCCTTCTTGACGCGAATGGTTGCGTTCAGCGACTTCAGCTGGCGCTCCACCTTTTCCAGGTAGCCTGCAGCGCAGACGGCAGAGACGTGAGAGTGAAACGGCGTTCTTGTCGCAGGCACAATGCGTGGCGACAGCTCGGCTGTGTGCGATCGGAACATTAAGATCCCATACAGCACAGAAGCACGAGTGTCCATAATGCTCCATACCATAAAGTTAAATTAGCATGAAGGTTTGGCATGATAAAGCATATGAAACAAAAACTTATAGGTTCCGGGAAAGACCAACGGCGACGTCCACTCACACAAAGCAAACAAACACTAGTCAGTGATTGGGAGCACATACTGTACGAGTATGTCGTGTTACTTTTCTGTTGATCTAAATAAGCATCACCCAGCTAACCGACAATCGACTGACCGGGTCACTTTGTGCACCAATCCCCCAATACAGGATGGTAAGTCAGGGTATTGCAGCTGTCAGTAGAGAGAGAGAACTTGCAATGTTCACAGAAAAACAGCTAGGTACCATAGCCAGCTGGGAAACATCTATAGAAGAACTTACCTGTGCCAGTGACGATTTCCTTCCAGTCCCTTTCATCCTGGATGAAACGTAGAAAAATCGAGTCCCAAGACAGGATCGGATGTGAAGCTACACGCAGCAAGAAGCTCTGAAAATATATTCAAATCAAATTGTTGGAACCATCAAATACCGCTGTATGTCATCAGCGCCGTTTAAATGCATGATTATGAGCTAAGACCGACTACCTGATACAGTTACACTACAGAGTCTGCCAAAAATTTCACACTATAATAGCGCTGAACAGCAACTGAACCACAGAATTTCAAGGCGTGTGACAATGACATACATGGCGTTATTTAACCCTCGCCCGTATAGGGGGGGGGGTCGAACGGACCCCCCCCCCCCATGGTTTTTCGCAAATAACTCGCGTAAAAAGCGGCCGATCGCGACGAAACTTTCAGTACCCTCGCGGTTATCAATTTTACACCTACCCTAAAAATTTCATGACCCTGACCCCAATGACCTTTGACCTGTGACCTACTTTTCGAGACCATGTTTGGCCGGAATCGCGATTCGGCGTATGTCGGCTCGCATTAGCCGCGCGTTTGCAGTCTTTTCGTGGTTTCAAGCGTTCAAACATGTGATATGATGTTGCCCCCATGCATTAGGGTGGGTGTCAAGGTCATCTGAAGGTCAGGTCAGGTCATTGACCTTTGGTGACCTCGGTTCACTTTTTCGAGTTTTACATGTTTCTAGGCCAGTGTTTGGAGCTGAATTCGAATTTAGCAACCATATGAACATTTACGAAGTAGTTTTGGTGCCTTCGTAACATGTTACGAAGCTGTCACGGGCGGTTGACACCTACTAGGAATACCCGGCAGGACCCCTACTGGTTGACCTGACCTGACCTGACCCAACCTGGACCTAATGCATAAAGACATCATCTGTGATCAAAACTAATATGATATTCGTGATCAGCGCCCCGAAAAACCCCATAGCAGCCACACTTTACGACGTTCTAACAGGTTCCGATTTTCCCGACTTTTGGGTCATTGACCTGACCTGCAAGGTCAACCAATGACCTAGGACCTTAAAATTAGGTATCATCGGATTCCTCTCGTCACGGGCAACACGCTCGTTTTTTCCGCGAAGCTCTAGCTCGATCAGGGGCGAAACGGCAAGGGGGAGGTCCAACGGACCCCCCCCCCCCCCTTATACGTTCGCGGCTGGAAAAACACCAATACGGGCGAGGGTTAAGCAGTGCTTGCAATACCACGCCAATAACATGAAAGAAATTGGTTAAACATACTATATCATTGTCAATTCTTTATCATTGACGACGATGTGATCTCTCGGACGTCTCACCTCCAGTCCAACACGGCGCCGGTCTATGAACTCGGAGTCGAACGGGTCCGTGGCTAGCTTCTGCCAGACGTGCGAGGCGCGCTTCTCGGGCAGCGGCGGCGTCACCACGTACGGGTAGGCCTCGCCCAGGTAGCCGGCCAGCGTCTCGAACTCGCTGTAGCGCCGCCACAGCGCGCCCTGGCGGCTCAGCGCGCCGCCGAACGTCGGCTCGGTGACGCGCGTCTCGATCAGGTAGGCCGTGTAGTACTCGGTCAGATTCATCGAGCCGTTGTAGCGCCGCTCTGACTCGGACACAGAGATCTCCATCACTGTGCACAGCGGCTCCTGTAAAAGAAACAGCACGCAAGGACCGATAAAGACGGACCATTAAGGATAGCATTTGACACAAACCAAACTAACCCGGTCCCGTAGCTCTGTCGGTAGAGCGTTGAACTTCGCGTGGTGAGAGCACGCGTTCCCGGTTATAACAGTCCAGGTTCGAAGCACAACTGGCGCTTGACATTTACGAGCCTCCTGACAGGTATGGTTACGGTTGGTGGCAGGCCGTAGCCAGGCGAAGTCAGCGAGGGGGCCCGGGACCGGCTGTGCGTGGCTACGTGTGCACGTGCCACGTTAAGTTTTACACTCCAAATTCTGCCATAGAACCAGAACTGCGAGATCGGAGGATTGAGGGCAGGGTCAATGCAACAAGCTTTGCTTAAAGGGGGCTCTGTCCTTGTGAATACTTCCATTCAAAAGGTTTGAACCATTAAGGAGTAACATAAATTTATAAAAGAAGTCACCAGCTATCACCAGGGATCTTGTATGCCAAGGGCAAAAAATATAGGTAAAAAGTAGCTACATTTTTTTGTTCATAACCAGCCTTAACATATCTGATGGTAACAAAAGTCACAATAAGTAAACATGTTGGGCCAAGAAACATAACACTTCCAGATTCAAGAGAGAATAAACAGGTACTAACTAACAGAAACTTAACATTTGACACATAATCATACCTTCTTGAAGTCTTTTTCTGCTGCATCAGCTCCTGGAGGTTGGGGTGTTTCCAGAGCCCCTGTGCCATTGGCTTCTGGTGGCAGATTATTTGAAATGCCATTCTCTTCAGCATCATGATCATCCATTGGTGCAGCTAGGAAATCCTGAAAATTAATTGGCAGTGAGGTCCTACCCCATATACCTACCATTCCTACTCAACAACACCCAGGTGTGCTGACATGACATTGTCATAAATGGCAGAGAAGGAGGCATTCATTTTTGGACAATATTTGGTGTGTAACTGACTAACTGTACTATGACCTTTAGCTGCTCTTCAATGATATTCTTTTCTTTCCTGAAATAACAAAGAATATTGAAACTGCTAATAGAAGCTAAAAAATATACACAATAAAAAACTACTTAAATGCACTGTAAAAAATGATGGAAACAGTGGAAACCTAGCAACTGGTTGGCGACTCGCTGTCCTGTAAATAATCTGTTTACAATTTAGCAAGGCCCTAAAACAGTATTAGTAGAGCAGACACACAAAGCTTATCCAACCAAGCAGAGGCGCTATACCTGCCACCCACCACCCGCAGATGTTTCTTTCAAACTAAACCAAAACAAACCTAACTGACCTGACCTGACCTGACCTAACCTAACCCAACCTAACCTTAGGTACCTTACCTTACCAATTTGATGGCCACTATGCCCCCTATGGCCTGTACGGTCCCGATCACATCAAGCTCCTGAACTGACGACTCTCATGGAAGCTAATCTAGGATGGAGTATCTGCCCAATCCCGGTACCTATCCCATTCCCAGTAACCAGTATCCTGGGTCATTTCCCTCTTTTGCATTCTTTCAAAATGGAAGAAATTCACAAAACAAAATCATGAAAAAAATGAATAGTCACATCCTTCTAAGGTAAAAAGGAGAGATCACACATAGCATAGATATTAGATACTTATGATACTTTTTACACAAAACATTTATAAGATACACCCAACCAGCAACCACTTGTTGAGTTGGGTAAGGTTATGTGGTATACAAGTGGATTAAGGTTGTAGGTTAGGTTGTAGGTTGGTAGGTGTAGGTTAGTAAGTTGTAGGCTGGTAGGTTGTACGACACCTAGTACGTCCATGACGTAACATATTGCAACAACACTAGCGCCAGCCTCAAGGCCACAGCCCATCATACTAGCTCATCCAGCCATATACACAGAAGTGTGACGCCTGCTTTACGACTACCCTACAACCTACAAAAACAGCCTAGCCTCAGCCTACAAACCTATAAACCTAAAACCCAGGCTCTATTAAAACCTACACCTACAAACCTACAGCACCTCGTTGGTTCAGGTTGGAGGTTTACCCGTTTACCTCCGTGTGACGTCTGCTCTACCAATACTCTAAATCGATATGAAATACAAATCATTATCAGTTATCATCCTTTAATTTATCACACTTTTGTTTATCAATTTAACAAAATTTTAACAATTTATCCACAGCATCTATCGAATAATCTAAACCGACATCTAAACCGACAATTTGTTTTCATTTGTGGCATTCATGGGTGTACTGTTTAAAAATGTCTCTAAAATGACGTCAAAGAAAATGCCCCGACAGCAGATCACAGTTTACTGTGCGTGCGTTCGACATCCGGAAAATGAGGGAAAATTATCCGGGACCACCAGTGAAAATTTGGTAACCTACACCCTTTTTATCTATGATGAAAACCGCTAAAACGTCTTTATTTCTATAGCTAAAACCAAGGCAGGCTGCTAAAACCACGCTAAAACCATGGATAACAATCCATGCTAAAACCTAAGCCGCCAAACATTGATGACGCCATCAAATACCATACTGACGGATCAAATACATTCGACAAAAGTTTTGACCTTGACAATTGAAGCCAAAAGTGGCGATAACGGCGCAGTATGTTAGGCGGTTGGATATATTATTTTATGCCATTTTCAAGGTTTTTTGGCTGTTATTTCTTAGATTTCATTGTGACGTTGTTAAATGTTCACCACGGAGTTTTCTTTCCAGTGATAAAAAAAATCTCACCAAAATTTCACGGCATTCGGCCAAAACTTCCCTCACCCGCACGAGTAGTAAAGTAATCTTGCGCACATTGACATGAGGGGCTGGTTGCCAAATGCCATCCCCCCGCAGGTAGTTTTTCTGCTCTGCACTGAACATTTTTAAAGCTAGAAGCCTGATTTTTTGTATAGCTGCTTTCCTATCCTTTTTCAGCATGCACTGAAAATTTCAAGTTTCTGTGGTTTATGATTTCAGAGATATGACCTTGTTTTTCAGGTCATGTCATGACCCAAATCCATACTGCAATGACCATTAGGTCGATGAGGCGCACCAGGCGAGTTCAAAATCCGCACCATCCCTTCATTAAGAGGTGGAAAATCTGCACCAATGCCAAAGGAGACTACAAAAAAACACACCGAACCAAAAATATGACCAGTTAACATCTGCACTGACCACAATTTGTGATATGAGCTGTGAGCCTGCCCTGCCCTCTCAATAGTATGGAAACGAAGCAAAAAATACGTACCACACAACTCAAACAAAAAAGCATGTCACAGGACCTATTTTAACATGTTAGCTGGAGGGGCAAATGCCCCAGCACTCAACAGAGTTGCCCCGCCCCCCCCCCCCCAGTTGTCAAGATTTGCCCACTATAAAAATGGGCATAAAGGAACAGGGTGACAAACATACTACTGCGAGTTGTCTTGTAATGGATGTCAAATGAGTCAGTCTGCAAGTAATGACCAGTGGTGGATCCAAGGGTGGGTCCTATATATCAGTCATATGGGTCATGACCTCCCGCCCCTTTGGGGCTCGGGGACACCATAGGCCTGCCATGGGCACCACAGGCCTGCCATGGGCACCACAGGCCTGCCATGGGCACCACAGGCCTGCCATGGGCACCACAGGCCTGCCATGGGCACTACCGGCCTGTCAGGGGCACCACAGGCCTGTTGGGAGCACCATCGACCTAGCAAGAGCACCATAGGTCTGCCAGGGGCACCACAGACCTGCCAGGGGCACCATAGACCTGCCAGGGGCCCCACCGGCCTCGCAGGGGCACCACTTTGGGCCTGTCAGGGGCACCACAGTCCTATCAGGGTCCAGGGGTACCAGCGGCCTAGCAGGGCCACCACAGGCCCGCCAGGGGCACCACAGGTCTGCCAGAGGCACCACAGGCCTGGCAAGGGCACCACGGACGTGTCAGCGACACCACGAGCCTGTCGGGGGCACCTTAGGCTTGTCAGGGCCAAGGGACACCACAGTCCTTTCAGGGGCACCACAGGCCTGTCAGAGGCACCTGAATTTTGCATTGATCTGTGCGTTTTGAAGCTTCACCCAAATGACTCACTTCACGAATAGAACCTCCCAATTCCCGATGCCCTGGAACCGCCTCTGATAAAGGTATCAACTTGAAAATTTAAGGGGATGTGCCCAGTTTAGTTCTAAGAAAAGTCTGCAAATTTCAGCATCCTAGATCCAGCCGTTTCGAAGATATTTTCGAAAAAACCGAGGGGTGGATAACTCCCCCCCCCACCCCCTGCCACTAATAGGGTTAACCCTCGCCCGCACATGCCATTTTCCCATCCTAGAACGCACATGGGGGGGGTGGTTGCCACCCCCCCCCCCGCGCCATTTCGTTCCTGTTGGAGATAGAGCTTAGCAGTGAAGACCAAAAAGATTCTTTGGGAAGAGACGAATCCAATGATACCCAGTTTTACCTTCTCAGGTCAGTCATTGACCTTCCAGGTCAGGTCAAACTAAAAAATGTTGCTGTTTTGGGTCACCGTTGGATATCAAGTGCGCTGCTTATCAAATACCGATGACGATGCTATTTTCTGGTGCCAAGCCAGCTAGAACCTCTTTGTCACACTATCCGACCAGAATTTTGCTGCTGAGGTCATTTCAGGTCAAGTTAGGTCAAGGTCAATTACATGTGTTTGTATGTCTGTGTGTGTCTGTGTGTATACTGATGTGTGCACCGATTGTTTTTGGGTCCATATCACATGAAATCATGATCTGAGAAGCTTTTACCAAAAATGCAGTCAAAAAACTTCACAAAAAGTAAATTCAGCTTGCCTAAAACGCAATTATCTTAGATGACCTAGGTTGACCTTGACCCTGACCTTGACCCCTGTACATCGTCGAACAACATGTTCCATGATAGGTGGGAGGTAAGACTGGCAAAAAAGGCCGAAATCAGGGTGTCAAAAGCTCACAAGGCCCATGGCAAACGCAAGATGTTGAGAATTGGCCATTTGGGTCATGACATGACCTGAAAAACAAGGTCATATCTCCGAAACCAAAAATCACAGAAACTTGAAATTTTCAGTGGACATCAAGAAAGGATAGACGAGCAGCTATACGAAAAATCAGCCTTCTAGCTCTAAAAATGTTGAGTGCAGAGCAGAAAGACTGCCTGGGGGGGGGGGTGGCAACCCCCCCCCCCCCCCATGTGCGGGCGAGGGTTAAGCGTCATTGTGCAGTGTGGACATGGACAATAACGTGCACAAATGTTTTTTTTTTTTGCGCACGGCGGAGCTGCGTTTCGGTACATGCCCCATACACGGACGCACAGTAGCGTACCACAGACAAGGCTTTCATGACGGACCTTGGGATGACATACTCGTAGACTATAGGCATGACTTTAAGCTTTCAGAATCCCAGTACATTTACATGACATGATGCCGATGTGAGTTTCAAAGTTGAAATGTGGGTTGAGTCATGAGTGACACTCTAGGATTTTACCACTCCTGAATCTGGGATGACGTTTGCGTCAAATTTGAGCATGGAACGAGCATTGATGGCGTCCCGATCTCCAACATCTGCGAGAGAATGTATTATTTTTATTTTTACATCGATGCCATTGTGAAATGCTCTTGAACTTGTTTTGCTATCTGCTCGACTAATTGTATGTGATATGGTATAGGTAGTGAAATAAAGGATGAACTGACATGACATTGGGGCCCAGCCCATGCCAACAGCTATGTCTGAACCACCGCCTCTCATGCGGACTGCGTCAGCGACAACGGTAGAACCAAAGTGGCTTCGGGAAGACTCTGCTGGAAGGGACGAGGAATGGAGTCCGTCAGGGTGTGTGAGGAGGACCCAGAGCGGCTCCTCTCCCGTAGACAGTGGTTCCGAGAGCGTCTTTCAGCCAGTTGGCAAGGACGAGATCAAGATTGAAGTCCATTCACCAAAGGTAGGTGCACAAATGCATGGTGTTCATTCGTGTTGAGAGTATATTTTTCTGTTGGGTTGATATATATAACGGAAATGCAAGTAAGAAATGGGTTTTGATTTTTATATCCATAGTGGAATGAACAGTAAAATGTCTTATAGGTAGTTTTGATGACTATTGCTGGTTTCTTTATTTTGGTCTAGGTTGAGCGGCCGTCGTCTCCCTCGGCGTCGGACGACGATCCTTTGTCAGACCGCGCTGCGCAGTCTCTAGTGAGGAAGGAAGTGTTCCGGTGTCGGTCGCCGTCACCGTCTGAGGACTTCATCGGGTTCACTGAGGTGGACCGGGACAAGTAAGCAAGGGCATGGCCTAGTGTACCTTTGTGTTGAAATTCGATCAGGTTTTTTTTCAGACATTGTCCTAGACACAAGAACACCATCTTGCTGACTGCTTATATTCTTTTTTCAGTGCTTGTTACATCTCCAATGCAAAAAGGAGTCTGTTATTGCGTGACCAGTCGGACATTCGAGACTCTGCGGAAGGCAAGTCGACAGAATTCAGGCAGAAAAAAAAATACGCAGGTCGCGTCTACCCAGGGGCTCCGCCACTGAGGGGGGGGGGAGGTGTTGCGTGGTCCATACCTTCCCAATAATTCAGTCCCGTAATGCTGCCTAAATGTATAATAGAGGTGTCCATTTTTGGGTCATACCCCTTATATTCAGAGTTTCAGACCGTGGCGGAGCTCCTGTTATTGCCATAGTACTATCAGCCTTGCACTACTGTATACTTCTCCCAGAGAAATTACCGGTTTGTTATACATATCATTAGATCTGGACGCTGCAAAGAGATTCAATGGTCTGACTGCATTCATTATATTGAATCGGCACCTTAACTAAATGCAAAACGATCAATTATATCTTATTATTCTATTTTTGCAGTCTTTGCTGAAGGAGTGAGCATCGACAGTCAACGTTTCGTCATAAACTACCGGGACGTGGCTGGTCTCGATGATGGCAACATATGTGGGTATATCCCTTCCTCTGACCTGTTTCAGCGCCTGCAGGCAAAATTATTCACTGGTGGCTCTTCGGCTTGTCAGCTTTTCCTGATGATAGGTTGTTAAAGAAAGAATCTGGAAGAGAGGATGACTTTTTAGGTTGAACAAGAACTTCTTGATAATGAACGAAAATGTTCTTAAAGTTGCAGTCATAAAAACCATCACAGACACACTTTTACGTCTAATAGAATAGTAGATTCTATTAGACGTAATAGTAATAATTTAGTAAATACCTAATCAACTACGCTCTCGATCAAGTCCTTAAGAATCATTTATCATTCGCCCTACTCTCCGACAGTTTGTGACGTATGCTGCCGTGATTTGGACGGGGAATGTCGTATCCATGGAGCTCTGAAGGTCATATCCGACACCAAGGTAAGGGACGGGTCGGCTTGGTATTCTCCACACATGTTCATTCAATTTTCTTTTATGACATGGGTGGTTGGCTAATTAGACGTCATGCTTATTGCTTAGATCACAAAAGGGTACCAGGGGCATTATAAAGCCTTCGGCGTCTTTCTGCCTATTGATGTGGCACTATTTATAGATATTGTCTGCGCTGCAGCAGTCTTCAACCAGTCTTGACACACCTAAGCAAGATCAGGTTCTAGGACAGCTCTATAGCATATATTGTTCGCAAATCATGCTTGACTGATCTTCAAACAGGTCAGGTCCATTCGTACGTTACATCATCCGTGGTCGACGTTTTGCGCTATATGTATGTGCGCTTATATTCCAGGCACGACCCGGTATCGGAGATTCCGAAAGGGATGTCAAAACGCTGCCGCCTTCTCTTAGCTCGGCTCAGTCAAGAAATCCAGTATCTGGCACCGGTAGGTTGACAAGGCAAAACGATGGCATTACATAACGTACGTTAGTGGACATTGTTGCAAACATGTATTGATGGTGTTTGTTAACCCTCGCCCGTATAGGGGGGGGGGGTCGAACGGACCCCCCCCCCATGGTTTTTCGCGAATAACTCGCGTAAAAAGCGGCCGATCGCGACGAAACTTTCAGTACCCTCGCGTTGATCAATTTTACACCTACCCTGAAAAATTCATGACCCTGACCCCAATGACCTTTGACCTGTGACCTACTTTTCGAGACCATGTTTGGCCGGAATCGCGATTCGGCGTATGTCGGCTCGCATTAGCCGCGCGTTTGCAGTCTTTTCGTGGTTTCAAGCGTTCAAACATGTGATATGATGTTGCCCCCATGCACTAGGGTGGGTATCAAGGTCACCTGAAGGTCAGGTCAGGTCATTGACCTTTGGTGACCTCGGTTCACTTTTTCGAGTTTGACATGTTTCTAGGCCAGTTTTTGGAGCTGAATTCGAATTTAGCAACCATATGAACATTTACGAAGTAGTTTTGGTGCCTTCGTAACATGTTACGAAGCTGTCAGAGGCAGTTGACACCTACTAGGAATACCCGGCAGGACCCCTACTGGTTGACCTGACCTGACCTGACCCGACCTGGACTAAATGCATAAAGACATCATCTGTGATCAAAACTAACATGATATTCGTGATCAGCGCCCCGAAAAACCCCATAGCAGACACACTTTACGACGTTATAATAGGTCCCGATTTTTCCGAGTTTTGGGTCATTGACCTGACCTGCAAGGTCAATCAATGACCTAGGACCTTAAAATTAGGTATCATCGGCTTCCTCTCGTCACGGGCAACACGCTCGTTTTTTCCGCGAAGCTCTAGCTCGATCAGGGGCGAAACGGCAAGGGGGGGGGTCCAACGGACCCCCCCCCCCTTATACGTTCGCGGCTGGAAAAACACCAATACGGGCGAGGGTTAAACATGTATTGATGGTGTTTGTTAAACATGTATTGATGGTGTTTGTTTTGAGATTGTAAATGCCAGGATATTGTGTGCCCATTTATGTGAAACGAAGGCCATCATCCATTCATTCTGATTCCAGGAGTCTGGACTGAAAAGGATGTTCCGGCGCGCCAAAGACTCGGTCCTTACGAGGGCACCCTGACCACCGAGCAGGCTCGGGCCCGAACGCCCGGGTACAAATGGCAGGTTAGTTTGTGATTGCTGTCGAATCTCCATGCGAGTCTGACACTATTCGCTCTTCTGGCAAAACTGTTTTTTATATAAATTTAGCTCGAATGTTTGAATGGACGGATGGACAGTGCCGGAGCCTACGCTAAGCAGAGCTTGTTGCGTAGACCCCGACCCCTACCGTCCGGTCGCGCAATTCCACGCAACGGGAGAATTTAGATGCCAAAGTTTAACGAGCCTTAAAGCCGGACATGGCCTGTCCCACTCAACTGACTTCAACTGGCTGCGGCTGCTCCCACCAACCGCAGACCATCCCCGTCAGGAGTCTCAAATATCGAGCGCCGGAGCGACTCGAACCCGGGCTCTCACTACCGGGAGTCCAACGCTCTACTAACTGAGCTACGGGACAGTCTGTTATGTTGACTGTTATGCTGGTTTTGTAGTTATATCTCGAACAATAATATAGCTGAAGTTCCATCACTTGAACATTGGCGCTTCTTGTTTTTATTGTTTGTTTTTTTTTTCTTTTTAGTTAAGTAGGCTATAAAAATATCACTAGATAGGAGATAACCAAAAATTGAAATTTGTCTAGGATTGATGTGCGAATTGTTTTGCATTTCAGATCAGGAAGGGCCAACGCGTGCATCACTTGGTGAATACAGAAGACCCGAGCTGCAGCAACTGGCTCAGAAGGGTCAACTGTGCCCGCTCAGAGGAAGAACAAAACCTAGTGGCCTTCCAGTACCGGGGTCAGATATACTTCAGGTGTGTTGTAGTCTAAAAATCCATGGAAAAAATTCCTATCTGTAACGTTTTACATTCTATGTACGTTATTCCTTGCGCCGCCTGCAGCCCTTACCGCTGATTCTTCTCGGTTATCAATGGCTAGTTTTCTTGTCCCAAAATGTGCAATGCTTTTATCATTTATTTACATATTCATTATTGCTTTGAAATATATTTATCGACTTTTGCAGGACGTCAAAGCCCATTCCGCGGGGCTCAGAGCTGCTGGTGTACTACGGAGACGAATCGGCCCGGGAGCTGACCGTCCACTCGGAGACGTCTGGGGAGGCTGTGACCTCCTCTTCCGCCGGACCGTCATCGTCAGGTCAGTACCTCGTTGGCGGTTCTGATCATTTGGTATCCATTGAAGGGATCGACCTTGTACTGGCATTCGCCTGTCTTCCGATAGCTGCCGTCTTGGCCGTTCCGGTTGGTTGGAAGTCTTTATTTTCTGATGGGATCTGATGGAGATCGGGACAGGGGGATACGTCCAAAGAACAACTGGATTAGATGCTAATCGGAGCATCAGTCTTGCAAGTTAGGTACCATCTACAAATGTTTTGGCGCAGTTCTGAATGTACAACACCGGTAATGCATTGTATTCACCAAGGGGTATAGATTGGGTTCGTTGAGATGGTATTTCAGCTTGCGATTTAAGCATCGCGTTTGCAGGGGGTCCGATGGACTACCCCGGGTTTTCGGTCATGCCCCCCTCCCCCCCCCCCCACACACACACACAAAATCAGCGAAACGCGTAGCTTCATATCTTTGGACACGTTTGATATTTGAGGCTTACGAAAGCAGTGTAGTGTAATAAGACGTCCTAAATCATGGCCCATCGCAACCTGAACAGAGGCTTGGCCATGCTGTCATTCCAACTAAAAAAAGACGCCAAAACAAATGGTGAAACAAGCCGTTCGCCTTCTGAAACACACGCCAGAGCACCTGCACTACCGTAGGTAGACGGGGGAAGGTGGTTTGGTCGGATGAGTCGCCGTTTATTATCCGCTGAGTTAGTTGCATTATCACCTGAACCGTCAAAGTGGCCGTGTGTAGCTGAGTAGCAGCTGCGACGTGCCGGCCGTCACCAGTGTCGAATATCCGGTCTGGATCCAAGTCTGAGGAGCATGTTGACTGATCAGATGTTTTGCGATGTCCCAGCTGCCTTCCTTTGAAGTCAGATAAAAGCACCATCAAGGAATCAGCGACGAGTAATACCGGAACAACATCCTACCCGACGAATGTATAGAGGCGCTCAACCGGAGGGTAGAATAGAGCTTGGTTTCTGAACGTGCATTGATGCCTCATTCAAGTCCAGTGTCTCAAAAATTTGTCGATTTGGGTGGGACACGATTCCAAATAAAAATAGTTTTCTCCCCCACCTCTAATTTTCAAGCGTAATCTCTTTATCCCATTTTTGCCCAGAAAGAACATCTGCACGTGTAGTCGAATTACGTCGCATAGGCTACCACTTTTGTGTAGAAGTCTATGCTGTTATCCTTTTTCCACACTTTTTTAGGAGGGGTCTTATCAGACCAGGAGTTTTCCACTCTCATCCCCCTCAACGGTTATAACTCAACTGAACAGCTGTTAGATACCATTCGTGACCTGAGATGACCTCAGGAGCATAAACAGGGGTCACGGATACCATTTTCATGCTCAGCGTGTCTAAATTACTTGTAATTCAATGTTTGGGAGTGTTTATAATGGCTTTTGTCCAAAACGGGCGCCTTTCAATTTTTCCCCATTGACTTATAATGTGGAGGTCGCAAGATTGACCTGACATCATCGATATCAAAATTCTGAGATAAACATTTTGTACATACTATTGTTCTTAGCAATCGCTGAAAAATTTAAAGCGACGGGTCACTCGGTATAGCTATGGCAGACATTGAATTTTTTATGTGGTGAGGTCACTTAACCCTATTCCTGGCGGGGGGGGGGGGGCCTCAGGAGCCCCCCCCTGAGGTTTTTTGGTTATTTCTCCCAAACGCGTTGAGCTAGGAAGCTCAAATTTTCTGACTTTTCCTAAAAGGCTTCTACGCAACATGTCTGAAAATTTTGAGTTGATCTGACCTCAGGTCAGGTCACCAGAGGCGGTTTGGTGACCCTACCTCAGAAAAGTTTGCAATCACGCCAGAGCTAGAGTTTTTGACCGATCAATTTCTTCTCTTCAGGCTTTAGTTAGGGTACCAGTATGTGCAATTTGTATATCTCGGAATTTTGATATCGGTGACCTAAGGTCAGGTCAGTTTCGCGACCTCCCCATTATAAGTCAATGGGGGAAAATCAACTCCCTGTTTTTACCACTAAAACGGGTCGGAATGGCCCCATATACCATACATGACTTCATATACGATCAACCTTCACTACCTTGAGGTCTGTTTTGCTGTTGGGCAGCTGTGAGGTCATGTGACGTCATCAAAGGTCACCAAAGGTTTTTGGCCAATAACTCCGTACAGGAACAAGATACAGACGCGTGGATGGTCTCATTGTGTTCAGCTCGTCAAGACGCATCGAATGATATACATGATGACCTCGAGGTCACGTGACCTGAGGTCAACCTTTGACCTTGACCTTTCGAGGTCAACATATATATCATTCGATGCGGATTGACGAGAGGATCACGATGATGCCCTTAGTTTGTTCCTATCTTGACTAATTCGAAAGTTATTCGAGAAAAACTCTCCATATCTAGCGCCGCCATTTTGACTTTTTCGACCCCTGTGACGTCATCTTTGACCTGACCTGAAAATGACCTTAGTAAAAATTGTAGATCTTGACCGTGCGTATCCGATGCCGTTTACCGTTTGTCGCTGCGATGTGTAGTTTTTGAGATCTGAAGGGGGGGCCGAATCGCCCCCCCCCCCCCGCCAGTTTCTTGTCCCGGCGGAGCCCGCCAGGAATAGGGTTAAGGTAACCTGGTGACCTGACCTTAAATGAGCTTGGTGTAAAATTTGTTCACCATCTGTAGAATTGATGTATGATAAGATACGCCGCCGTTTTTGAAATATTTGCGAAAAACCGCAATGGGTTTGGGGGTGTTCAGACGCCCCCTCCCCAGCAGGGCATGGGTTCATCCATGTGCCAAGGAAAACCTTACCGCGATTGATTCAGCGTGAATCATCCCCTCGGTGACACACCCTAATGCGAACCCATATGGGATAGCAGGGGCATTCCACGTCAAATCGAACAAAAATCGGCTGTTTTGCAACTTACCATCAGCGATTTCATTATAAAATTGTGAGCGAGTTCCTGTGTCGCCCCGGACATTACAATGATGTTTTTTTGCACATTCTGACCACAGGTCTTCTAAATATAGGGCATCAAATTTTTACAAAATTTTGCATCTTTATATTTTTGAACGACCATAACCTTGGTTGTACTTGTTTGATTTGAATGAAAGAAACCTTACTGTTTAGGTAATTTCTTAAGCATTAGTTTAGAATTGCACATACTTGAATATATGACCTTGAAATTTGCTTAACTCTGTTCTTAAGCACAAAAATTGAAATAGCAAAAAACACGCCACCTTCGATTTGGCTCATTTTCATATATTTTATTGCCTAACTTATTCTTAACAACCTGTGAAAAAATTAGAGTGTGCCATTCATAAGTTTTGAAGAAAATGGCAGATATGGAAACGTATGTTAGCACGCGCAGTGGAGGGGGAAGAGCGAATTTCGCCCCACCCCTTCTGTTTTTCGCCAATATCTCATAATATTAATGCGAAATTAATTATGGCTACCTGTCCAGAATTGAATTGCACATCTCATCGTGCAAGTAATAAGAAAATCGGTTCACAACTGTTCTAGTAATAACGGTGTAAAGTGAATATCCTGTCGCCGCGGCGACGCGGCGACTCGGCAGCCGGCGCCGACCGCTACGCGCCGCCTGAATTGTAGACTGTGCCGGGACGGAACGGAACGGTTCCGTCTTTACATCGCGCTCCTTACCGCTGATTACGTTCGATTCGCGTCAAATTTTGTGAGAAGACTAAGAAATGTTCAGGCAATCTTATGGTGATTTTTTTTTTAATCGGTTGGTAAACATTTGAAATATGAACGTGTAAACACAAAATTGTGATTGCTGCGTTTGCCGCGTCGGCCGATCCCGCCTCAGCCGGCGACATCTTACTCTTAGCAGGCCTCTAACTGCCATGTTTATTATTGGATTAACTAGAAATTCACCATACATACTCAAAAATGTATGTTCTTTCGTATAGTGAAGTTAAGAAGACGTGAAGATATCGTTGTGTGATAATGCTTTCGTTTACAGGGTGCCCCATAAGTTCGTTCTCACATTATGTTTGCATGTGAAACAGAGTACATTGCGTTTTAATATATTTATGACCCCTCAATATGCTCCTCATTTAATAGGCAAACACATGAATACATGCTGCAGCATGCCAACCGGCATGTTTGGCTGCAAAGTAGGCTTAACCCAGACTGACTTGACATGCGCCGTGAGCTCCTCGAGGCTGGAACAGCGCTACGCTTCGACGAGCCTCAATTTCAGCATAACCAACAAATTTTTATGAAATTTTGATCCAATGAGGTGCCTGGCATGTGATCTTGCCACAAATGCCTGTCACAGTCTCCTTGCACCGCTTTTAAGCTTTGCTTGACCTGTGCACTGATGCACTGTCTTGCCTGAAGATGGGCCTACGGGCTACGACCTCCCGGATGCCATTTTCTCCTCTATAAATATGTTCATACTCGCGGTTTGAGTTCAGCTAGAGGGCTGAAACTCCTCCTAGATGTTCTTGGAAAAGCATTCTGCTTCCCAAAACTGTTTCTGGGTTGCCACTTGCAACTTGGTCAACTCCAGAACGCCTATAATCCCACAACACAGTGACCCTGACCTTTTGCATAGGAACATAACGGGACGTAACGGAGGCCTCCTCCTTCGCCCTTATGGGGTTGTTTTCGGGTTTGGACGGGTGTTTCCTTTCCAACGTGGACTAGTTAGTCCTGATGACCTGGTTGATGTCATCAGCCCTCTGTTTTGTTTAGCCTCAGGCATAACGAAACTCATGTTTGGCCATTTTAAGACGTTTTTGACTGTTTTGAGCCCTCCGGTAAGCAAAGCTTAAGTCACCTTGAGTTATGTACCCCGAAAGAACACTCTTAGACAGCTGGTAATCCATCCTGAAAAGTCTGCTTACCAACTTTGTAACCCTTTGACCTTTTTGATGGCCACTTTGGCGCCACACAGTTTTGGCCACTTGGCTCAATCCTGAGGGCTGACTGGAAAGAGGATAAACTTGCAGTGACTGACTCCCGACAAATCATCGGTGTCACTTGCTGACTGTGCGTCCAGTTA